TGAAAACCACAATCCATTGAGGGACGGTATTTAGTCGATCGACCCATACGCCCTTTCGACGGGGTCAAACGTCCAAGAGGCCCCCTCGATGCTCGATTATATATATATATATATTTACCACCGGCTTGAAAACAAGCATGGTGCCAACGCAACAACAATGACTACCACAACAGGGAAGGTGTAGGTGTTTGGAATCTGGGCTTTTAGTTAATTCCAAAGGTTCACCGAGCTGGGTATAGCTGAGGATATCGGCGTTTCATCCTCTCATTTTTGTGGGATAACACCACCACGAGAAGGCAGGGGAGAAGGGCTCCTTCAGTAGAAGCCATTTCCAAAGCCTGGTTATATGAGAGCATTTCGCGAGGTCCAAGAGAGGGGTAACCAGCCACAGCCCGATCATCTGTGTGCACAAAAACAATTTGTGCAGGCGCTGAAGTTTCCCTGGTCTGCCGCACCTACACCGTATCACGAGGAATCTCGATGACCGGGTGAATGAGCAGCCAACTGTGATAATAGTGAATCCGATTTACGGTCTTATAATGAAATTGATTTTAGTAACGCGTGACGTGATGTTATCTTATTTAATTTGATTTTTCCAAGACAATTTTATGCCCAAGCAGTGATGAATACTGTGACATATTGGCATGATTACGAATCACTGAAACCGAGCTTATTCGCCACTCTGTTGTTTAGTTTGTTTTCGCTATGAAAGGAATAACGAGGTGATGGCGTCACAAACAGTACTGTAAAAACCGGTGGGCGCTAGTAAGATAATTAAAACGTCAGATTACTAGCATTATTGAGAAGTGAAAAATTCACAATGCACATACCGGAGAAGTTTTTCCCGATCGAACGGACCAGTGGGCGCTTTTTTTGTTTGATCCCGACAGCGCTGTGATGGAGGTAACAATGTGTTGTCCGGATCCAAGTCCTCATTGAGTTGTTCAATCTCCTCTTCTGTTAATTTGGCGAGCAACTCATCGATATCATCATCATCGTAGGAGGCTAACTCCTTGCCAAAAAGTAACTTGTGTGACATGATCTGCAATATGAGGAAAAACAAAATGAAAAATTATATACTTTTTATCACGCACCTAAATGTGAGGAACAGCAGAGGGGGCGAACCCCATAGTCACGAGGACCTGCTGCTCAGTGATGGAAACCGGGTTTCTAAGCCCCGGAACTTGCAATGGCGAACCACATAAGGCCCCCGGTAGATTATAAAGAACAGTCAGTCCATATGATTCTAGATGACCCTCTCCATCCACTGCGCCCTGATCTATCGTCTTGTCGTTTCCATCTATCTACACCTTCCTCGTTTCAGCATCTACCCTCTAGCATTAACAGTTATGAAAATTCCCCTGTACCCTACCTGGCCCGAACCCTAACCAAAAAGGAACAGGTCACAAGTGTACAACGTCAAACGTTTTGCCCATGAAACAGATATCAGCGATATTCTTTACCTTTCATGTTATATTTCATTATTAATATTATTATTATCACTATTATTGTTATTTCATTCCGGATGACGAACAGCGTACATTTTTAACTGAATTTTAAGCATATATGCATACACTAGTTACACCTTTGGTTTTTTTCTATTCGCTACCTGCCTCGGCAAACATCACTCGCCGTGGTAACCTATATATA